TAGTCCTTTCTTCTCGCTTTCCTTGAATATTGAACTTGGGAAACCTATTTTACTCAAAAAACTCTTTTAAGAGAAATATTTTGCTAATTTAAAAATACACTAATGCTAACACTTCGGTCAAAGAATACCGAATGTTTCCTCATAAGAAAACGAATAAACACATTACTACCATTATCATTTAACACATAGCTCATGTCAGAAGAAATAATGCGAAGTAAACACAACTTACTCGCCCGGAAATTGAACACAGCTCACTGATTTCAATACCCGAAATCTTTTCGTCCTGGGTAAGACGATAAACTACATCCAGCAGAAAGGCCTCCAATCGGGAGGTTTTGAGGAGCAAAGAACCACGTCTTAATTACTGTTGTTCCGAGGTCTACACTGACGCGGGATGGTAGCACCTGTTAGGGTCCCAGTCATGGGCAAATTGTTAAATTCCAAACTGGCGTCAAAACACTATGAAATTATAAAAAATGAATACTACCAATGCATTTTTTTGAAAATATATTCCCAGCAATACATTTGACTCTCGAGAAAAAAAATTTTTTTTTAAAAAAGTACGTGAATGAAACCTGATCTACAAATTGATTTCTTAAAATTTCTTAATATTCTGTTCATACGAATCTGTTCTAAAAAATCTTGTCGGCATTTAATATTAGGTTGGTGCAAAAATAATGTCGTTTTTTGACGTTCAGCTTAACGTCAAAAAACGACGTTATTTTTGCACCAACCTAATAACTCATTGAGTTTGATATACCGTAAAACAAAATGAACCAAATCAAACCAAACCGTAAACTTTTACGTTATGTGAATATGCACTTGGATAAGTTTGCATTTATTTAATTTAAAATTAATAGCCCTGTTCTCAAATTATTATTATTATTTCTGCGGTATACCTTCTGGACGTTGGCAATCATGGCTCTCCACAATTTCTTGTCCTTTGTAACTCTTAGTAAACATTGTCTTTTTGTTATCTCTCCTCAATGCTGTTCTGCCATCTATGTATACGAGATCGTTAGATAGTTTATGTGTTGTTTTCCTATGTCCCTCTTGTTTACAATATGCCCCGTGAATTTTTGAAGCCATCTTTCTTTATATTGTCCGCTAGAAATTTCAACTGTTTCTTTCTGATGTTAAGTATAAGTGTCCTTTATGGCTCTGTTTTCTCTAAAACTTCGTTTCTGTTCACATGTTCAATCCATGGTATTCTCAGCATCCTTCTGTAGAACCATATTTCTGTTGTTTTCAGTCTATTCATCACCTGTGAGAACATTGTTCTGCATTCGCTGCCATATGGGACGATTTATATTCCGTAACAATTCAGTAATCCTTTCTTTGTTTTTCTAACGAAATTGTCCTGTTTCTCATTACTTTGCATAGCTTTTGGAAAACATTTTTAGCTATTCCAGTGAGTCATCAGATTTCAGTGGCGCATTTTCCGTCCTCTGTTAAAAAAACTTGCCAGATACTTAAATTATGTGACCTGATCGTTTTCGTATCATCTATTTTTAATTTGCATGTTGGGCTGATCCTTTTGCAGACAAACTTGAATTATGTTTTATGCTTTATTGTAACTTGTGCTTAGTCTTTTCTTCGCGCTTTCGTCACTCCCTACTGTTGGAGTTCTTGTCGTTTCCTTTTTTGATCTGCTGCCAACACCATGTCATCTGCATAACTTTTTTAAAATTGTGGCTGAATCCTTGACTTTTAAATCTGCCAGAATCGCCTCACCATAGTTTGAATGAGTCCAGTGAGAGGAGACATCTTTGTCAACTGAATAAGAGTAGATAGTTTCGTCCTCCTTCTATACGGCAGCGAATGTTGGACAGTCTCTTCAAAGATGAAAAAGATATTCGAGTCAGCGGAGATATGGTTCTACTGGAAGATGCCAATGATATCATGGAGCGAGCGTGTGAGCAACGATGAGGACTTGGAAAGCATGCAAACACGGAGGAGGTTTATACTTAACATCAGGAAGAGGCAGATGAAATTTCTGGTACACGTAATGAGAAAAGAAGGCCTGGAGAATCTGATATTCACTGTTCGAATAGAGGGCAAAAGAGATAAGGAAAATCAACGCATGACATACCTGGCCAGCTTAACCAAGTGGGTGGCAGAACGTGGTCTGGGGGAGTTGGCAGAGGCACGAAACTTATTGAAAGCTCCAATGGATAGAGGGAAGTGAAGAGACATTTTCGCCTACGTCCTGAAAAGACGCAGCACATAATAAGAAGTTCCGTCCTATCGTACGGCTCACAATACTCCATGGGTTGTGAACAGATGTAGTGTTTTAGCCCTGGTTTCCTGTATAGGATTAGGTTCGGGGTTCCATGTGAAAACCTCTTTTCTTCGTTCCCTACCGCCCCTTGCGTCTTAGTAGCTTTAACGCATTGCGTGAGTAAATTTATAAAACAAAACTCCCGATATGACTATTCGTTCTCTGCAGGCGTACATTACTCGATATATCAAATAATTCCTGATTAACTATTTTTAAGTTTTAGAAGTTTATATGATTTTTTTAAGATTAAAAATAGGATCTCGCCAGTTCTAAAATGTTATCTTTTTTATTATTATTCTGAGAAATATTGTGTTTAAGTCTAATGAATGTAAATCTATAAAAAAACTGTTCAAACGAATTATCTCCTTTTTTTCGAGCTGAACTGTAAATTTAAGTAGGCCAGGTAAAGATGATAATGCACACATATCTAGAAACTTGTTTGGTTCTGTAGTGTTACCTGTGGCAGGAATGCCGTTACCATTTGCAACCGAAGATTCACTCTTTCTGCAAATCCATTTGATAAAGTATGACACGGAAACTTCTTTGAACTATGATAGCACCACTTCTTTTAGAAATATACTAGGTATGTCCGAAACTAGAAGCAAACCGCCTGCATGGGGATAAGAAACGAATTAAGTATATACACAAAACCAGAACGGTGGGTTAGACAAAGATGTGTACTCTCAGTGGGTTTATTTAATACATACAGAGAAGAATCTAGAAAAAAACTCTCGTAGAAGACGACAAAGATACAAATACTTCTAGAGAATATAGCGAAGACAGAACGAGGTGAAATGACTTAACCATTAATTATACGATGATAGAATGGATGAATGCCAGTAAAAATGAATCTACATATGTGTGCTTCGAATTGGATACACCAGAATTACGTAGGCGCAGAAATTTAACGATATGAGAAGTGTCATATCGTATGTAAGAAGAGATCCGAAGGCGTATCTGAAGAATGGAAAAAAATAAAATAAATGTGGTAATATTTAGTTAGGAATAAAGGAAAGTGTTTAAATTCTTTATCCTAAACGTCGTTCTACATAGCTGAAAAGGCTGGCCTTTTTCCTTACAGATGAAGACAAAACACAAAGGAACAGAGACTTGTTTCTACAGACGATTTCTGGGAATGCCAGAACAACTGAGCAATGAGGAAATTCTAAAGAAAAGAACTACTAAAAAGATTCTAATACTTAAAAATCGAAAATGCATGCGGCCATATCACGTTGGAACATCGGTTCCCATACGATCACCAAAGTTAACAACGTCGAGCCTGAACAGACACTAAAATACCAGGTGCTGTAAGCTTGGATGTGCTGGTGGTCTGATGGATAATGTCTCGCCATTGTTAATCAGAGGGCCGAGTTCCAATTTCGGTTGCCTTCGTTATGCGCAAATACCCTTCGGAAAGGTATGAATCCACGTTTTCTCTCCCAGCTATGGATTCATTAGTAAGACTCGTATCTCTAAATCATTATAATCTCCCCGTCCCTCCGAAAAGATTCACTCCGATCTAGAAATAGTTTCCGGTTTTAAATAACCTGCAAATGGTTTATAAGCCGTAAATAAAACTAAACAATCAATAAAAAAAACATTGAAAGTTGAAATTTATTGGAGAGCATGATGGCTTTGGAAACTTAATACTGCATGACGTATTGAAAGAAAGATAAATAGCGCGTAACAGAGATCAACTAATGAGTTCGTGTGAATTTTTGACAGAGAAAGAAAAAAAAAGAAATATTGTCAAACGTTGTTTGGAGTTACAAGGGACGTGACAGATAAATGACGATGAAGAATATTTTCTCAAACGGCATACCAGTAACAGATGATGGGGAATTACCGTATTTGATATAAGGCACACTTTTTTTTACAGAAAATTGTCTTAAAAATTCCCCGGCGTCTTATATGTCATATTAAGTTTAAGACTCGCGATAGTCGGCAGAAATTAGCTACCTGGCAACTGCTATTAGCTTAGACGTTAGAGTAATTTCCTTATACCTACTGCCATTATTTAAAAGGCTATCATGCATATTAAAAATGTTATCATTGATAATATTCATTATGTTAATTTCATCACGTTTAATATTAGTACTTTGTTTCGCTAAAATTATATGCAAATAAATTCAAATTATATATTTGTAAAATATTTTATATTTTATAAAATTGACATTTTATTTTTATATCCTATTTATGGCAATTAGACATTTACAAGGCGCAGGTTGTAGAGATCATGTAAAAGAACACGAGCCTATAAAATCTTTATTATAAAGGTTTTATAGGCTCGTGTTTTTTTCCCCTTATTATTTTTCGTTTAATTGTAATCAGGGCTTGTTTGTCAAAAATCATACCTCATAAATATAACCTAGGCTGTATCATTAAGTAATATTTTTACTAATTTTACTAATTTTTTCTTGATTTGCCCTGTTGAAATTGGGATGCGTTTTATACACCCGTGCGTCTTATATGCGGTCAAATACGGTAATACGTAAGATACATTTTGAACATATTTTTTCTATTTTTTTTCTGCCAAATACCTAACTATCGTTTCGATGCATTCACAGATATCGACGAATAAACATTCTTATGCAAACATTCTGAGTTACGTTGCTATAATAACCAACTACACGTTCTCTCACCCACACGCATGTCTATTTAAAGAGCATGTATTTGCACACGTCCGGAGATCGTAAATGTCTGTTGGTACAGGCCATTAATGCCAAGTGCCGCTATCAAAAAGACTATTAAACTATCAAGCCACTTAACTAATTTCTCTAGTCGCGAGCTCAGCCGTATTCCGGTCTATGTACGCGTGTTCTTGGTACAATCGGTGAAAACGACTTCCGTTCTTTTAGACTGCTCATTTCGAAGTTTCCTTTCTCTATTCTCTCTCTCCCTTTCTCTCTATTGCATCTCTCTTTTTCTGGCAATTTCACTTTTTTTTCTTTCTATCCCCCCTCTCACTTTCTCACTGTTTTTACATAATTCCAATGGCTTCTCTGTTTCTCACTATTATCTAATATTTGCTCTTTCTTGTTTCTCTCTCTTTATCTTCACGCCACAATTTCCTATTTTTTACGTCTCTTTCTCACATTCTTTCTCTTTCTGCCTGTCTATATCTATGAATAACAATGTAGGCATCTGTTTATCAACTGAGATATTAGTATAATAGTACCGCCATGTTTGTTAAAAAATTCAGTCCTTATGGGAATAGCGTCTGGAGTCGTAAAATGTTGTCTCCCGTGGTGAGCTCTGACTGGGTGGTGAGACTAGCGTGATCTCTCCAGAGCACACGCATTTTAGATGGTATATGGACGTCGAGCACTGCCCAAACAACATGGTCAACCTGTCGAATATACCAATAAGATATAAAGGTATACAGGTCATTACATTAGGGGCCGTCTTGATCTCAGAACTTGCAGTGTTGACAGCTAACCGGCTTTGGGTCTGTTTCCCGTTTTTCTGTCTAGATTCACTTCCATAAACTTGTCACGGCAAATATTCTGTGATGTGCTCCTTGTCTGAGGTTCAAGATCTTGAATGAGCATATTGCAAGATCTCCGCTTTTAAAATTAAAAAGTGTGCGAAGGTATGAAGTATAATAATAAATTATATATTCATAGGCCTACCACTGGCGAGATTATATTCATTGCGAACTCCATGATCTTGGCGTTGTTTGCGTAGAATGTGCTACGTGAGAGCCACATATGGTTTTGAATGCGGAGTTTTTCTTCTCATAGAGTGGCTGCTAATCTTGGCTACAATACCCGGCCTGCCTTGCTGTTTCATTCATCGCTGGAGGAGAATGGATTAGCGCTCATATTTTTCTCCAAGGGCATTTATACGAAAGTCTATGTAATGAAATCGGCTGAAATAGTTATTGTCACTAGCATCTAAACCTTATACAACCCGAACACCCTCACATACGAACAACAGCACACGCACACACAAACACGCACACACACAAACACGAACACACACACCCACACAGACACACACACACATACATATATATGTATGTATATGTGTGTGTGTGTATATTATATATATATATATATATATATATATATATATATATATATATATATATATATATGTTTTGAACAATAAAAATTAATGAAAAAATTACAATCTTCAGACACACAGGGTTGTATATTAATATTTTTCCGTTTTTATTATTTCAGTTAGATATTTTTTATTATTTTTATTATTTCATTTAGTTTATTTGTTACCATTTATTTATTAGTTTTTATTATTTCAGTTAGATATATTACATATATACATATATATGCGTGTGTGTGTATTTAGGCAGCATTTTTTCATTGGTACATGTTTCATTAAATAATATAGACAAGTGTTGTCTATTTATTTTATGTAACTTCTTTTCATATCGTCTGATAAGCTTAATAACATTATCATTAAACGAAGAAAGAAAATCGCAATATTGATACATATTTTTTTAATCCTATCTAAGCTTTCGGCTTACATAAGCCATTCTCAATGACAATTACATTAAAATATATTACGCAGTACACGGACAAAACAAGGATGATAGTCTGTTTCTGTTTACATGGAAGATTTCCAAGCAACGACAAACTCGTGCATATAAGACGCTGGAAGAGACGCCAATAATCCTTGGAGTCGAATTTGCGAGATGCAATACGTTACTTCATTCGAGCAGCAAATAGTGACTTAGCTTCTTTGAGGACACTCTTACACTCGTTACGGGCAGAGGCAAAGAGACGTCTATTGCAGTCGGACATATCGCTACGATAGAAGTGGAAAAAGAGGTTCTTATGGGCAATGGCGGCTGAGCAAGCAGTAGAAAACCAGGGGAGACCTTAAATTTCCTTGAGGGGATGAAAGCGTCGATTCCAGCTTTGACTCAGGAGGAGACCTCAGAAGTACATTCTTGAACGGGGAGCGTAAAGACAACATCCCAGGGGACATCAGGGAGGAAATCACGGAACGAATCCCAGTCAGTTCGTTGATAGCAGAACGAGGTTCTAGAGGTAGGATGTTCTTTACAGTGGGTGGAGGTGAAAGAGATGTTGACCGACACTACAGCGTGATTGGAGTTACCGAGAGGGCAGAGTTGTGAGGCGCTACAAGACTTGGGGATAGAGGTACAACACAGATACAGGCCTTACCGTCCCGGTTGTGGGCAAAACGCGTGGGGAAGTCAACTATCTGCGTGAGGGATTGAGAGACTGAAAAATTAAGTATTTGAATGCCTACAAGGTCAGTAATAGTATTCTGAAGCCACTTGGTATGATGGGCGTTAAAATCGCCAAACACTAATATGTGAGCAAACGGATGGAGCGAGAAAGAGCCTTGTCTATCCTATCAGAAATGCTATCGATTATTCCGCAGTTTTTTTGTGAGCATGCGTGTATATATGTATATTCACTCTCCATACATACACACTGTCTTACTATGAGGAATTAGTAAATACTTTTGTACACATACACACATATATACACACACATATACACACATGAACACACATACACTTCCTATGCTGTGTAGTGTTCTTATGTGTGCCATTTGTTTTTGCCAATATGTGTATATATATATATATATATATATATATATATATATATATATATATATATATATATATATATCAGCATGCGCATGCATACGCGCACTTCCTCTCAACATAAACAAAGAATCAATACATACACACAAACATGCATACATACATGCGTACATACATATACATATACTTCCCAAGTTAAAGTAATCAGTTTACACACATACCTACATACACACATATATACATACATACATACACACATACTTCCTAAGTTGTGTCGGGTTTTGCGCATGCCAGTGAGTAGTCCCATCTTTCTGTCAATATATATATATATATATATATATATATATATATATATATATATATATATATATATATTCGTGTTCAACAGACATCTGCATGTGAGCGTGTGTGCATGCATGGGAGTGGTTTGATTACTGTATTTGGTAATCATGTGTGCACATTGTGTGTTTTTGCGTGTGGGGTTATGATCTATTTAGTTCTGGTTTAAATTTGTTTATGAAGTTTTCTTTTTCTTGTATTTGTAGGTAAGAATAATTGTCTGTTTGATATATTGTCATAATTTTGAATTTATCCTGGTTACATTTAAAGATGTGTTGTGATACAAAAAGTTTTCTGGTGTCTGGTAATTTTATGTTGCTTTTGTGTAGGGAGACCCTGTTGTTCAGTTGTTGGCTGATACATATATATGACTTCTTGCATTTTGTGCATTTGAGTACATTTTTGGAATTGCAGTTTAAGTTTTTATTTATTATGAGTGTCATTTCGGCGTTTTCAAAAGTGTAGGAGTTTCCTTCTATAATGATGTCACAAACCCCACATCTTTTTTGTTGCATTTTGTGATTCCCTGTATTGTATGTTGTTTAAATTTGGATGAGGATAATATGTGCTTTAGGTTTTTAGACTGGCGTTTGATTTTAATTATTATTTTTTTTTTTTTAGTATATTATTCAGTTTATTATTCTTGCTAAGTAGGTCTAGATTTTTTGTAATTTCTGTAAATAGTTCTGGATTGTTTTTGTTGTATGTTGAGACATATGCTAGAGTTTGTTACATTTCTTTTTATTTCGAAGTTGGTCTAAACAATTTTTTTGCGAGTTCAAAACCTTTGGTTATTTGCGTTGTGGGGTAGCCTCGTTTTTTTTAGAGATTTATGTAATTCTTCTAGGTAGGACGGGGGGGGGCAATCCCTACGTGTTAGAGAATAGGGGATGGATTTCAGGAAGCGTTTTGTGTGATGGCTCTTCAAATGATGATATTGTTGGTTGTCTGTAGGTTTGTGGTAGATATCTGTGATTATGTGGTTGTTTTTATTTCGAATGAGTATGTCTAAAAATGGTAACTCGTTAAAATTATATTCTTGCGTGAATTTGATTTTGGGGTGTAAGTTTTGAAGTAGAGTGTGGAATTTGTTAATATCACCCCATGAGAATTTCCAGAAAATGAAGCAATCATCTAATTATCGTTTCCAAGATTTAGTGAATTGCTTTTTTATATTTTCCACATACATCAGTTCTACCCTTTCATAGAGGTTTTCTGCTAGGTAAGCTAATGTTAGGGTGGCATATGTTGGTGCCATTTTTGTTACCATTGCAGTACCTACGCTTCGCATATAGTTTTTGTTGTGAAATTCAAAGGTGTTATTGTTTAGAATTAAGTCTATACTATCGATAATTAACTCCTTAGTGAATCTCAGATGTAGTATTTTTGGATGTTTTTCAATCCAAAATGAGATTGCCGTTTTACCTATTTCATGGGGCATGTTGCTGTATAGGCTACCAATGTCAAAAGTTGCCATAAGTGTTCCCGGATCTACGATTTGTGATATGCAGCTAAGGAAGTGAATATTGTCTCTGATGTGGCTTTTACTTTGCTTAGTATATGGTTGTAATATTATGTATATTAGGTTACAGAGTTTGCTGATTCGACAGTCTGGTCCTGCTACTATGGGTCTGAATGTATCATCATTTATATATATATATATATATATATATATATATATATATATATATATATATATATATATATATAAACTTAGTGCACCAGGTCTCTGAATTCGGCCCTTCATAAAGTGAGGATGGTTTCCTGGGAACTGATTTGCTAGACCCTCATACGTCGAACTTGACGGGAGAGTAGACTATATATACATACATATATACATACATACATACATACATATATATATATGGGGCTACAGAGAGTGAAAGTAAGGGAAAAGGACTAGATATAATGGGTATTGAGGAAAGGAAAAAAGTAGAACGGGGATCAAGACACCCCAATATGTCGATTGGAATTACTGTTAAATATTTGAAGATTATATTTATCAGGGAATCAGTTAAGTGGAAGGGAGTTCCACTGTCTTGAAGTGCGAATGAAGAAGATGTTGGAGTAGAAGAGTCGTTACATTTAACTATTTCAACAATATATGTGTGGGGCCCAAATGCCAACCTAGTAGCACGCTTAATTTAATGCAGTCGGGGCACCAGTGAAAATAGATCGTCAGAGGCATTTGCCATGAAAATATTTATAGCAAAGAAAAAGGGAAGCCACATTACGTCGAGGAGAAAGTAGCTGGTGTCGAGACCGCAAATCAGGACCTATCACATAACCGTCCTTGGATTTTGTCGACAACATCGAGATGAACAGCGGGGGCAGTAGACGATACGTGGCAAAAGTATTCCATGCAAAGACGAATGGTAGATTGGCAGATGTGAAGGATGGTCGAGAAAAAGCTTCCGGCGCGATACAGAGGACCAACTTTCCTTACGGTAGATGCAGCAATTGATTCAATGTAGTTGTTCCACCTAAGGTCAGTGGAAAACGTGAGACCAAGAAGCCGCAGTGAGTTGCTCTCTTGAAGTTGCACATCAACTATGCTGATAGGAGGTAGGGAGGTTTCTCTATGGTGAGTAAATGAGAGCAGTTTCATTTCGGATGCATTAAAACTCACAAGCCATTTCCTTCACGACAGATTGGAGGTCGTTTTCGAGACCAACGGCCAGGTTAACTTTGTCAGCAATGCCGGATTTACTATTGAGACAGCAGCAAATGGTAGTGTCGTCTGTGTAGATGCCTACTAGAGACTAGATGACGTTAGGAAGATAAGAAACACTGTAGGACCAGGGATAGAGCCTTGAGGAACACCGTTGTTCGTATGGAAAGAACTGAAGTAAAACCCGTTCAGGACAACCGCCATTTCACGGTTAAACAGGAATGATTGGATTAAGTCAAATAATCGTCATGTAATACCGTATCCCTGAAGCTTAAGAAGAGGGCCTGTATGCCAAACCCTGTCAAACGCTTTTGATATATCTAATGCAACAGCTCGAGCTTTTCAGTTATTATCAAGAGCTTGGTATACATATTTAGCTATGGCTGTAGACCGGGCAAAGCGGACACGATATTGTTTGTCAGAGAGCATATCGTGGGAGGTGGGATGCTTAACTAGTACAGCTTTGATTAAATCCTCGAAGAGTAGTAGAAGACTGACAGGATGGTAGTTAAGATTGGTCAAAAAGATCTCCAGAGTTCTTAAAGACAGGGACGACAGAAGACGACTTAGAAAAGGCTGGAAAGCAACAATCAGCGAGACAATACTTGTATAGTTTGGAGAGAACTGGAACCAGCTTAAGGTGACCTTTCTTTAGGATTACGTCTGGTATCCCGTCACCACCATTTGCTTTATGAGAGTCTAATTTAAAGATGATGTCTAATACCATCGACGGGTTACGCACATCTCACACAATATAGCATATATATATATATATATATATATATATATATATATATATATATATATATAGACATATATATATATATATATATATATATATATATATATATATATATATATATATGATAAGCAAATATAAATGGATATAAATCCGACAGAATGAAGAAAATAACTGGAAAAACAAAAAAAAATCCTTAAAATGCGATTATGTTTCATTTCATTCATATTAAAACAACATAATCGCATTTTAAGGATTTTGTTTTGTTTTTCCAGATTCATTCTTCATATATATATATATATATATATATATATATATATATATATATATATATAGAGAAGAGAGAGAGAGAGAGAGAGGAAAAACAATGAGGAGTGAGTGTAAAGTGAGAAAAATTATGTAAAGGACAAATAACTACGATATTCTTCATTCACATACATACTGGCGCTTGGGCGCGAACGCGCACACGGACGTACACATGGACCAGGGAAAAAAAAACATTGAAAACTGCATAAAAAAATGGAGAAGTATAAACAGTCAATTTCTGATAGCCACTGATGAGTTGAAAAAGTGATTTCCAGAGGATCTGTCTACGAAACTCTGAAGTCAGGATGCTTAAGGTAACATCAATTAGCTAAGTGACAAACCTTTTACTTGTCTTCAATATATTATATATATATATATATATATATATATATATATATATATATATATATATATATATATATATATATATATATATATATATAATATATATATATATATATATATATATATATAGAAAAACGAGTTTTCTAACATATTTTTGCAAAACTTAATTATTTAATTCACTTAACGTATCCGCAGAGCTGGTTTCTTTTATAACTTTTTTAATGTTCAATTTTCGTCCAGTTTCCTATTGAATTTATTTTTCGCAGGTTCGCTTTACCTTATCTGTCTCAGCGTTACGTGCGCCATCTCTCTTGTGATTTTATCTTACTCTTATTTTCACATCTCTATCCGCCATTTATACTTCTCACTCTTTCCTTCTGCTTTCCTCACGCATTATTATGACTCGGTTTCCCTCCCCCACTTCTCTTATACCTCTGTCTTTCTCGCTCTCCTCACACGCACACGCTCACTACACATTTCGTTAGGTCATTTTGTCTGTGTTTCTAGTTCTCATTCCCCCCCTCTCTCTCTCTCTCTCTATTTATCTATCTATCTATGTATCTTTCATTCGATATTTGTCTCACACTCTTTGTATTTTTTATCACTTCCCTCTGCTTAGTTTTATCATTCGACGTTGTGTTTTTGTCTCTTTTTTTCCCTCTTATCTAATTTTTCCAATTTTCTTTGCATTTCACACAAAGTGTTGTTTCTATTCAAACCTAAATTATTCAATCACTCACTCACTCTCACTCACTCACTCACTCACTGTCTCTTTCCTACTTCTTTCTTTCTCTTTTTTTCACTATTTCTCGTTTTTACCGTTCTGACCTTGCTTTTATCTTTTTCTCACACTTTATTTATTCTTACTTTCTTTCTTTCGTTTCGGTTCAATCGCTATTCTTATTTTCTTTCTCTCTTCTTCTTTCTTTCCTTCGTTTTCATTATTTATTACTTATTTTCTTTCTTTATTCATTTACTTTCTTTCGTCTTTTTTGTCTTTCTTTATTTTCTTTCTTTTTTTGCTTTACTCTCTATTTTCTTTTCTTTCTCTTTTCCTCTAAATATACTTTTTCTTTCTTTCTTTCTTTCTTTCTTTCTTTCTTTCTTTCTTTATCGTATTGATTTATTTTATTTTCTGTTCTTTTTTCTTTTCTCTTTCCACTTCACTCACTATTCTTATTTTCTTCTTCTTCTTTTTCCCTGAATTTTCGTTCTTTCTTTACACTCTTTTAATAACATTTCTAATTTTCTTTTTGACCCACACCTAACGTTTTTATTTCAAATTCAGCTTCCGTTATACTTTCCTTTATACGGGTTTTATTGCTTTTCCTTAATTACTAATCTAATCATTCTCCTTGCGACTTTGCCCGAATACTGAGCCTTTAAGCCAGCAGTCATTCTCAATCGTCTTCCTTACTAAATATCAGTAATAATTTATTTAACGTTGAGAAACGGTCAAGTGCTGAATTGTTGAGGTGACAAGAAATATGATATTGCCTTTGACTTGGAATCCTTTGATGTTTCTTCCGACTTGACGAACAGGAAGTTTTCAATCAAGAATACTTCCAGTTGTAAAAATGGGTTCTTTTACCGCATACAGATATTTTCACTCTTTGAGGGAATAATGAATGAATCTCGACAAATATTACACTGGTAGAGCTAATATACTTTTTTTTTATTTTCTAGCATGACCGCCTCATATAAGCCATTACCTGAAAACGTTCCTTTTAAAATATTAAGCGTTAGTCAATAGATAATAGTCAAAATAAAATGAATCGGAAATATAAAAGTTTGCCAAAGAGATTTGAACCAAACACATTCAGTAACCACTTGAGTGGCTCTTGGGCCTTGTATTTCGTGGAAAATGGCGTAAGAACTTTGCTATAATTCTGCTACATATAATATTTCGAAGAAGGCAAAAGATAATATATTTCGATAGCTTCACTTTTTTGCTTTACATATATCTGAAAGATCTGTCTATATAAAATCGTTAATTTTTCTAAGTCATAGCAAATATATTTTTTATAATCTTTTTTTTTGTTTTTTTTTGGGGGGGGTACTTTTTTCCGCCATGTTTGAAGTTTTGCATACATATCGAATGCGGATTAACTTCTTCGCTATCTTGACTGTATTTTTTTTTTTTTAATTTTTTGTGGTGTTTAGATAGAAAAGTACGTTTGCCCTCAGCATTTGGTACGACAGAAATACAAATGATGAGTAAACGATGTTTCTATTTACGAGATTAGAAAAAAGTCATTAATATCTTTTTCGATTTCTTTACGTGCGTAATGAGATTTTCTTCCATTAAAGCCAATACTATGAAATTTCAGTATATTTTTTTTACAGTGAGCTTTAGTATTTACAAAGCCTGAGATCCAGTCGAGATAGACGGTTATATGCGGACAGGTGAGTTAACCCTAAATTTAAACAGGTTAGAATTATAGTGATCGGGAAAGCAACATCTTGGGAATCAGTTCCACAGAAGAGTGATTCGCAGGTATAAGCTGTTTGAGTTGAACATGCATCTCACTAATGGAATACGGAGGGAATGAAATGAAGGTGGTTCACTACGATAAACGTAGCGCGTAAAATGGCGGTTCCTAGCCGTAAATGTTAGAACTGGTGGAACTAAAGAAGAAAGTTTTGCATGAGTATTTCCCAATAAAATCGCAATAGAGCAGTGAGAGGCTAGCTACATCTCCTCTGTGAGAGAGGTGGTTACAGGAGTTGATATTTTATCACCCACAAGGACGCGGAAACGTTTTTGGACTCTGTCAATACTGGAAAATGGAGACTGTGCAAATCCTGCCCAAATATGATAGCAGTGTGGCACCCTGCATAATTAGAAAACTGAAAAGAGATATTCATAAATATTTGATAGTTATTTAGAGATGAAGAATATTTGGGTTTTGAGAATAATTCTCTAATTGCGTTTAGGCGATTGAGGGCTCGTAAAAAAAATTGAAAAAAAAAAAAAAAAAAGAAAAGAGAATTCAGATGGTACAAAACCCGGTCATAAACACATTTAGCTAACACATAACAGGTGTCAAAAGATATCTAGGTCAAAGTACCTTTACCGAAATCCACGAAAAATGGAAGTTGTTATAATTGGTTGAAGAAATAGAGTTTAGAGATAATAAAAAAAAAAAAAAGAAAGACAGAAACATAATACGAAACAAGGTCGTAAGCGAAAACGCACACGCGATTGACTGGCACATATCAGATGTCAAAATTATCAGGTCAAGCACTTGATCTAATTCCGTGTCCGCGTAAGATGGAAGTTTTTATTAAAAGTTGGCTGAAGAAATAAAATTTTAGGGACAATGAAAAAAATATTGATAAGTAACAAACGAAAAGGGTGTCATTGAGATGATAGGTAACAGATGGGGAAATGTATACGAAAAAACAAAACATTAATACACGAAGCCCAGAAAATTTCTGGGGTTGAAAAAAAAACACCCAAAGTGAAAATGCTTTTTGGAGATAATGTAGATTTTATTATCGGCCAGAGAAAAATGGAATATTTATATTAGCTCGCGAGAGACGCCGACAGGTCTAAAAATCCTTTCTTAGATCGTATCCAATTAGCGGCAGGCTGTTTTGACAGATACCACGTGTGGAAAAAAACCGATATCGTCATTCGATCGTACGAAAAGGACAATTTAAATTTTGTTTTTTTTAAGCAAGGTGTTTCTTCCCCAGAACAAAGCCCCGGATTGTCCACGCCCGATTAGAGACGTCACGAAGGAAGGAGGAAGATACCGACCAGAGTCTCATTAGCCGAGGACAGTCACATGATACATTTGGGAGGAGGAGACACCCGACCAGAGTCTCATTGGCCGAGAGCGGTCACGTGATGTGCGAGGGAGGAGGAAAGATGCCCGACCAGGACCCCATTGGTCGAGAGCGGTCACCTGACATACGAGGGACCAGGGGAAGCGGGTATGCCTCCCCCCAGAAAATCACAATAAGGAAGTAGGAGTGAAAGTAAGAGCGATAATGGGAAATCCCTAATCAGAAATAATACGTCTTTAGAATTATCAAGAAAACCCTGACGCCGACAGAACCACCCCAGTTTTTGACTGCCTCAATAAAAGCAGGACCCCAACCGACAGAAATCAGTTGGAGCTGGGCCGCGGACAGCGAGGGAGCTTGAGAGCGGGCGGCGGGCCCGGTTCATTCGCCCCCTTGCGGGCAAGGGCCCGGTTCATTCGCCCTTGCGGACAAGACAAATGCGAGAAGAAGAAGTTAAGTTGGAAGTTGGGGTTGCGCCTTGCGGACGAAGAAGAAGATTAACTTGCAGTTGCGCCTCGGAGAAGTTGAAATCAAACCAAGCCTAAGAAGAAAATTCGTCCAACCCAAGTCGAAGTGAAGAAATTCGTCCAACTCAAGCCGAAGTGAATAAGCTCGTCCAACCAGAAGCCGAAGAACAATAGAAGAAAGAGTCGATTCGCGCACTGACGGCGAGAAAAATCAGCCGTGAACGACAGGTAAGAGATCAGCGCCCAGTGTCGAAACCAATCCACACCCCGAAATGCAAATTTCTAGAGAGTAGGCAACTCGAAGCCTTAAAGATGTATGGTAAAAGCTTGGTGCCACAGTCCACAAAACGGGTCGGGAGGTAGGAATAATTTTGTGTAACGAACATTTAGATATAAAAATTTGTTACCTTTTTTTCAATAATTTTTCACCTTGTGAGTTTTTTTTTTTTCTTGTGTTTATCACCCCGTTGAACTCAGCTTGCATACGGCCCCAATCCCTGTTTGATCCCGTCTGTCTAAGATCTAATCACAACGTGGGTAGGCAGACCGGAGATCAGTGCAGTTACCCTAGTAACCAGGCGTTGGAAGCGAGTTGGGAACGACGAGGCTGGTATTCATCTAACCAAAGGGTTAGAACGTCACACTTGGATCAGCGAGGAGCGAACAGCTGACGCCGCGGCAAAGACGTCACATCTGGTGTCGTGACCATAGGACCAGAACCCTGGACCACGTCACGTCACAGTCGGCGCCGCGAACGAGATCGAACGACAGAGTCGACGCTGCGACCAGGGGGGGGCGACGTCACAGCAGTTATCCATTATAGATCTGGCCCTTGTAAAGGTAGATGATAGCACGAAGAATCAGTACTTACTAGAGCGGTAATGGCAACCAACCTAACACACGCACACACACAAACACGCACACATTTCACCCATATATATATATATATATATATATATATATATATATATATATATATATATATATATATGTATAATAAAAAAATACAGAAAAAACAAACAAAATCTTAATATGCAATTATGCTGTATTAATGTTAATATAAAGTCGACGTCGGACGTTTCGGTCTATTTAAGACCATCTTCATGGACATTTTCATTTAAAATAATAATTAACATTAGAACATATAAAAAATTTCATTTTTGTTTGTTTTTTCTGTATTTTTCTTCATACTGTCGGATCTATATCCATATATTTGCACCATATATATATATATATATATATATATATATATATATATATATATATATACTCTGTAATTAGGCTGTGCTATTATTCATTCCAAAAAAACTGCTGTAAAAATCAACATTTAAAAAAAAATGTATACAATTACTTCACA